AAGTTTACTGATGTTGATAAGTATAACTACCATTTAATGCAAAGAAAAAATGTATACTTTACGCATTATCGTTGGTTATGATTAAGTATAAAAGAATAATTTTTTAAAGTCAATCTTTGCTCGCATTATTTAGTTGTCTTAGAAGTTCATACACATCTAAATCTACTGATTCCACCACAGCGTCTGCAATTTTCTTCTGTGGAAAAGCTGTTGTCCAAGCGACAATAATAATGAACGAGCGGCCGACCCTCAGAACAATGGACTGAGGAGGACGGGCAGCAGGTAGGCTGCCGAGCAGCCCAGCCCTACTAGGGGTAGCGTTTCAGGGGGGGACGATTCCGGGGTGTACATAGGGGATGCCTTGCCGGGGAAGACCTTTCCGTTTCTACTTGTTTGAATTAAAATTAATAACATAATTAGTTCATATGAACTAGATTTCGATAAATTACTTGTCAAGCCCTTGGGGGGGGAACGATTCCGGTCGCGGACATAGATTTTATACCAGCTGGTTGTCTGGTTTCGTGACGTCACGTTTAGCCTGGGGGGTGATGTTTCCGGGGGCGACCATTCCGGCGACCCGGGAGTAGTAGGCTACGTCACACACCACAGAGTAGTAAAGACCACTATCTATACAAGTAGAGACCCAATTCCTATGTCAAGGTTGTTGCTAGTTTATAGTAAAGCAAAGGTAAAACTTTATTGATATGGGTTCTTCACAGTACTAATGTCAAAATGTTATGCAATTTCTGGATACTCCCTATAAAATATCATAGTTACTCACTCTTACCAATGATTAAGGTTTTTGACAAGCTAATGGGAGAAAGTATGTGTCAGATTGCTAATACCGTTTATTTTATACTGTGTAAAAGGTGTTAATGTGACATTATGTATATGTTGCCATAATTTTTGATTCGTTGAAAAGTTGACGGGTTTCCGACTGAAACCATTTTGACGCACTCTTTCGAGGGATACATTGTGTTTATTTTTATTGTAAAACTGGCCTACAGCTTAGATGTTGAATGATATGCTTTCTATCAATTGAGTCAATCTGTGGTTTTACTAACTTCAAACGTTTGCACACAATTTTTGATTATGAAATTGCATAAATTACACTCAAAGAAAACTCGATATCGTGTACTATTACTCCCTGTCGTGAAACGATTAGTTTATTTGTATCGGTTCATGTTCAAAAACGCCCATTTCACCAGTTCAGATTATGTCACCAGCATTTAGAAAAGAAGTGTAATTTCCACACGTAAAAATATTGAGGAAACGGAACTGTCGGGCCCGGTGTGTTATGTGACCGGTTAATATATTCAAATTAGCCGACGCAACGCCAGACTGGTCTAGTTTCCAAACTGGACCTGAGCCCGGTATCATAACAATTAATGGATTTAATGACATTCATTATAACGCATTTAACGTTCTGGTTTTCTGTAAACTTCACGACAAACTGTTAATTTTTGTTGGCTTGTCGCTCAATCTGGGTTCTCGAAGTAGGTGGGTGTGTTTTAAATTTCCGACGCCTGTTTAAAAAACAGAATAGTAGTGTATTTATTTCAGGTTAAAAAAGAGGTCAGATTCTTTTAATTAGGCGTTTGGGATTATTGCATTGATGGTAATCACCTTTGAATATAGATTCACAACTGTTAATCAAACGATATTGAAGTTTGTCTTTACAAAAGCTATTGTTTATTGTTTTGGTTATTTAAGAGTAAAGTGGAATTTTCAATCACTAACTAAGCTAGAAAATATAATTTAGACACCAGTGAACTATGTATGGCTCATTCAACTATTTTCCACGAGAATAAAAAATATTTTCTAATGCTCGCCTATTTATATGGAACGTTTGTTTCAGTATGCAAAGGTTTAAAACGTGAAAAACAACAGATATTATTATTTGAAGTTCAGAAATAAAAATAAACGTGTTGATGAATCACAGTTATCACAATACTATTACTATGTGACCGTGACCATGTGACTAATGTGACCTTGCCCTGTGACTAGGTCACTTATTCAGTGTTATTTATAGCGTGAGCTGACCATTGGACAACCAATAACAACCGGGTCTGTTTATATGGCTTGTGACATTTAATGTCCCCTAGGCTCCTTCTGAAAAGGGAAAGAGATGCGTAATGCTGAAGTAAAAACACATGCAATTAAAAAGAGGGAAATATTTATCAGCCAATTTTAAAGATGTTTGAACAATTTTAATCATTTATTACGCCAAATTAAATAATTAAGTGGAATAATTAACAGCGATTCCTTCCTTATATTATTATTGTTTTCTCCTGAGATTTACAACGAATTTTCAATTTTTACTTACTTTTCGTCAACGGTATAATAAGTTAATGCTGTGTTTATGGATTATGGAGTTATAGAAACTTGCTTGATGTATTAGACGACTTAGCCTACTTCTATTCTCGTAGTCCCAACATTTAACTTACTATTCATCTATATTTTATCTTAAAATACGCATATAAGATATATCGAATGACAAATATCAATGATACTTTACTTTAATACTTTTATAATATAAACGACTGAAAGTATTTAATGGTTATTACAGTATTAAATTTGACAATAGGATTGATATAATTAGACATCTTATCACCTTAGAGGAATAGCAAGTTTTAGAACGATATTGAATATAGAGCCACCGTCTCAGTGTTGATATGAATTACAGAATTTATGTCTGTAATTCGTACAGGTGTTAAACAAGCACTGTTTACCAAGAAAGACTGGTAAGACAACTAACTTGTAAGCTATAGCACCGTTCATGTCACACCAACTATCATGGTAAGTAGCCAATAATTGGGGGAAATTGGATAAACAAAAGATTGGCTGTAACAAACACACTATGAGGCTCATTCAACTTTGTTATTTGGATAAAAATTTGCTGCAGCTGATCCATAGGTTGATGTCTTCTTCAGTATCCAAAACGCAATGGCATTTCGTATAGAGATTACTGTATGTAGGTACTTTGGCTTGTTTGTCCAGCTTGTCTGTTGATGAGATTGAGGCTCAGTAAAGGTGAACACAAACCTGTTTGTCCTATTCGAAGAGAATCAACTCATCAAGAATGATTACGATAACGTTGGAATGCTTAGATGCAAAATAATCATGCGATTTATCTGAAAATTTACACCGAGACTTCAATAGTAGGACAATGAAAATCTTCAATTCCCTCTCTTAGTTTTCAATTATTTAGTCAAACTATCATCAACTTCGACTCGGGAATGGTATGTCTAGTTCTATTCATAATCAAATTTTGTACTCGTTAACATAGACGAAACACTTTATTTTGTGGTATTCGTGGCACAGAATCTTAAATAATACGTAAAATCGTTGACTTTGCATTGTAAAATAATGGTTCGAGAAGTAGGCTTCTCGTGAGTTTGTAAAATTTGACTCC